CTGCAAAACCGGAGAAAGTTATAAAATTGAGGATGTTTCGTACACCACCATGTATAGACGAAACCATTTTCCGTTTCGTGTCGCTGCCATTGGCACTAACATGAAACAAATTATTCAAAGATTGAATGAAATTAACTTAGAACAACACAGTGCAGATGCTGTTTGTAGGAATAAGAAAATTATTTTGGTCTTCGCTGGTATGGGAACAAACTGGAAAGGAATGTGTCAATCTTTATTGAAGCATTCTGATATATTCCGATGTACCATAAATGATGTGTCGAGTATATTGAAACAATTTGTTTCATGGGATTTGTGTGATGCATTTCAGAAAGGCTTTGACCTGGATGATCCATATGTAGCCCCAATCATGACATTCGCGTGTGAAGTTGGTGTATATGCTATGGTGAAAGAATTTGGTGTAGTGGCAGATGCTATCGTTGGGCAATCTATAGGTGAAGTTGCAGCAGCATATGCATCCGGAGCTCTTACCCTAAACCAAGCCGTGTGTGTTATTCACCATAGAACTCAATATCAAGCCGAAGCAACAGGAGGCAAAATGTTTGTAGTCAGGAATATGGAGATCGCTGATGTAGAGTCTTTAATGGAGACATTTAAAACACAAGCAAATATTTCCCTGTTCTACAGCCCATCTTGTTGCACAATCAGTTGTGATGATGAAGTAGTTGATTTGATCAAATCTCGTTTGAAAGAAAAAGAATACCATGTGGAATTCGTGGATTTAAATGTGACCAGCGCATTTCACTCGCACCATATGGACGATTGTGCAGAGAAGTTGATTACTGCCTTTACTCTTCAAGGCACCCCACCCACAACGCCCATAGTATCATCGATAAGCGGGAAAATGTCTGGTGTAGGAGATTTTATCACCTCTGAATACTGGTCGAAAAACATTAGGAACCCAGTGTTGTTTCACCAGTCTATAGTAGAAGTCCACGAACCTGATAAAATGAATATATTTATAGAAATTGGACCAAAGCCGATTTTAAAAGCACACCTAGGGAACATCTTTGAGCAACCTCTTGTAGCTGTAGCCATACCTACAATACAGAAAGATGATGAAATAATATCTATAAAAAGGGCTACAGCATCTCTATATGAGTATGGAGTAAATATCAAATGGGAGGATGTTCTAAGCTGTTCAGGAAAAGTTATAGAAGTTCCACAATACCAGTTCAACCGGATTCCAAATTGTTACATTCCAAATATAGCAAAAGAAACACTTATGGGTGTTAATTCTAAAACGCATCGTCATCCATTTGTGAAATCGCTCGGTTCAAATTTTAGAAACTATAAAGTTCTAATAGACCCGTCTCGCATAGCTTCTATCTATGAACATAAAGTCAATGGGATAGTGGTGGTACCTGGTGCAGTCTATGCAGAAGTGGGAATAGCTATTGCTATCACAAAATCCTCCCGCTTAGCATTCGAAGATATCAGTGTTGATTTTAAAAATCCACTTGTTTTGATGAACCGAGAATCGAAAGAGCTTGATGTAGAAACAGATAGTATAAATCAAGAAATACATTTCAGAATTTTTGAAGGAACCACAGTTTATGCTACAGGTACTATTAAATCTTATCCTAGTGGATCTGCTGTAGATAATTTAGATTTAGATGATATCCGAAGCCGATGTACGAGTTTGCTAACATCAGAAGACATGTACGCTGATTTAGCATCTTATGGGTTTCAGTATGGACAGGCAATGACCATTTTGCAAAGAGCCGTAAAGAATAACAAAGAGGCTTTAGTGGAATTTAAGTTGAACGAACTTCTAAAAGAAGAAATGGAAGGAACGATACTGCATCCAGCTATAATAGATGGTCTCCTTCAAACACCTGGTGCTTTCGGATCTAACGATGACAACGTTGAACTGCTTCCTGCCCATTTGAACCAAGTTCGGGTCCTGAGAGAAGTTCAAGATCATATGTTTTGCTATGTAAAGCTTCTTAAAGTAACACCAACAAAGTTAACTTGCTCAATCCATCTTTGTGCTGAAAATGGTGACATCATAGCTAGTATTTTGAAATTCACTGTTAAAAGCATTGGTATCAATCGTGAGAAAGCTAAAGAATATTTTTACAAACAGCAGTGGAAAAAAATTAATCTCGTTGACCACCACGCCTCACAGAATAACACAGATATCATTTTCATTGCAGCTCAGCATCCATTAGTCGAGTGCCGTAGCTTGATTATTCCAGACAACAAAGACCAGAGAAAGAAAGTACTGACGAATTTCAGCACCCAAATTAAAAATCACAAAAACATAACAATAATGCTGGAGGAATTCAAAGATCAAATATTTGATGGGCGTGACATACAGGCTTCTGTGGAAAGAAAAATATTCTGGCTCAAAGATATTTTGATACATATTCACGAAAATACTGAAAACTGCAGGGTTGTAGTTATTACCAGGAACACCTGGACGGTTACTACCGATAAAAGCAACTCTGTTGAAACATCAAATTGTAACCCAATTCAAGTTTCAATATGGGGATTTCTTAGATCAGTTCAAAGAGAAACCATGTCTTTTCAACTCCACATTGTTGACTTACAAGATTATAATGACCAACTATCCAAGACAGGAATCTTAGAATTTCTAATGGATGAATTTTCCAGCAATCTTAAACATCATGGTGAGATTCTGGTCACTGCGGGTGCAGTATATTCGTTCGAATGCACAGAGTTTCATGAAATGAAAGATTACATTGAAAGGGACCAGACTTCATTAGGCGATTTTGAAATGTTTTCTTCGCAGAAAGAAAGAATACAAAATGTTTTTCAAATGTATCCTTGTTATAAAGGAGGAAACTCGAAGCCAAATTCGGTTGTAATGCATGTGAAAGCTATAGTTCTCCAAAATCCAGATCTGTACTCATCTTGTTTTGATTCCCTAGAGAAAGAAGACATCGAAGAACCAAACGAATTTCCTATCTATTGCCTCGAGACGGTTGGCTATGTAGGCACGAATAAAAATGGCAATAAACGAAAAGATATGTTCATATCCTGCTACCCCGTACATGCGTCAAATAGGGTAGAGATACCATTCTCCTGTTGCGTACCCATGTCGCTATTACCCAAGTACCATCGTGGACTAATATCAATCATCGTAACTTTGTGGAGTATATGTGAGAATGTGACATCCAAGTCAGCTATCCTGTTTTGCGAAGATAACACTTCGTTATATGAAGACATTATATGCTTGATGCTCAGATATAGAAAAGTTAAAACTATTACACGGCTTACTCGAAATACCGACACGCTAACAAATGCATGCGAGGTAATAAATTTAACACGGTTAGACAAGAGTATTATTTCTGGTCATATTCTAAATTTCTCTAAAGTGACAAGGCTTATTACCCTCTCTGCTCTTGTCACACATGACTGCATGCCGCTGTTATATCACACGATGCAAAATTCAGAAGTTAAAGTTTTAAGGAAATGGGACATATTTTCAACCCACAAGCTGACATCTACCATGCCGAGGATAACAGCGTGGCTGAGGAAATCAACCAAGAATCTAAACATGATTATAGATAAATATGGAACATGCACTAAAGATGCAGGTCACCTAACCAAGTTGTTTTCTTCAAAGGAAATCAATCTCGACCAGTCAGATGTAGCTGTTCCACCATTACGTCTAAGACCACCAGATCGGATACTCAGTAAATCGGCTGCTTACGTAGTAGTTGGTGGTTTAACTGGACTTGGGTGGCAGTGTGTTAAATGGCTCGCTGAAAATAACGCTGGTTTTATCGCTTGTTTCAACCGCAGAAATCCCACCAAGGACGACGAGACCCGAATGGAAGATTTATCCAATAAATGCTGCTGTAAGATCATTGCCTTATCAACAGACGTTACCGATTTTATTTCTTTGAAAGGGTCGTTTAAAAAGCTCATGGAACAATTCCCGGTGAGATGCCCCCTTAAAGGCGTGATCTTCGGGGCTGGTGTATTGAGAGACTCCTCATTGATTAATATGACAAAGAAACAAATAACAGAGGTCTTAGATGCTAAAGTTACTGGTGCGTGGAACATGCATTTAGCAACAGAAAATATTGAATTGGATTTCTTTATTCTCCATTCTTCAATAACTTCAGTATTCGGAGCACCAGGACAAAGTAATTATGGAGCAGGAAACGCTTTCCAGGACAGTTTAGCATTTTATCGCAGATCAAAGGGGTTACCTGCACAAAGCATAAATTGGGGACCTTTGGATATGGGAATGTTGGAAAATGTCAATGATAATTTGCGTAATAGACAAAGACTAGAAAATCAAGGTTACCGTCTAATCTGCAAAGATGATATTGGCCATTGCCTAGAAACTGCCATTTTATCAGATCTTCCACAGATTATTGTCACAGATTTAAATTTACAGGTACTTAAAACTAATCTCTTCAGCTACAAAGACATGTTTGCGATTGAAAAACTTCGTGGCATATTGCCAAAATATGTGAATTACACTGGACCAACCCCTGAAACAAATTCTGAAAAAGTACAAATAAATATCCACGTTTTACAATCAGCAACTGCCAAAGAAAGAATATCAATGATCGAATCTTACATTTCTCAGTTAGTATGTAAAGTGCTTATTTTAGATGAAAATAGTTTATCATCGAACCCATATCTAGTGGATGAAGGAATGGATTCAATGTTAGCTATGACAATAGTGAACGAAGTAAATAGGGATATTAGCTACAAAATACCTGTTAATTTATTATTTTCACCAGATACAACTGTAGCGAGTCTGGCAAGTTTTATTAATGAGAATATCAGGAGTAGGAATGAAGTTGACGATGAAGACGATCACGACGACGACGTTGACAATCCACAAAACATATCCTACATGGAATACAGATATTACAAATTAAACCAAAACCAATTAGCTTATAAAGCCTTCCATCTTTTTTTTAATATGTATTTTTCGGATTTAAGCCTGAATACAGAGGAAATAACCAAGTTGCTGTTGGTGATAATATCCAGAAATCCTATTCTTAGAACAACCTACTCAGGAGTATTACGCCCAGGAGGCTCAAAAGAGGACATTAAACGAAATCTGATTGACGCAAGCCAAGCGCTTGATCTGATTATAATCGACAAAGACAATCGAAACATCGATGAAGCTTTTGAAAACAAAAGTATGGAACACTTCGATTTAAAATACAAAGGACCTGTTCGTTTTATATACCACGCAAATGGTTCATCTATGCGAATAGCAATTGTCTGTTATCATATAGCATTTGACATAACGGCTGTGGGCATGTTGTTGAGAGAATTCATACATGGTATAATAAGTTTCGAAACTTACGGTACCCTTGATCGTCTTTCAATACCAACATCTCAAAATAATAAATTAGTAGCGAATATAATGGATAGGAAACTAAAGTCATCATTTAATGCGATGGAACGGTTTTGGAAAAGAGAACTATCTAATGGGGTCCCTTTGATTTCTATCGATTCTAGCAAAACATGTAAATTACATGGACTTTCAGTTACAGCTCAGAGACCACTATCTGAAGAACTACACAATGAACTCCGCAAACTAAGCAAGACACTACGGACAACAACCTCTAAGATAATGATATCTATGTATCAACTATTTTTGAGTCTTCGGTCTGGAAATCGAAGAGTCTTTATTACATTACCCGAAGACCTTCGGCTTTCATCATTGCCAGAAGCTAAAAACATCACAGAAACCGTAGTAAACCACATTCCAATTTTTTCAGACATCGAACCTTCCATGTCTATGAAAGAATTTCTTGTCACTAACTCCAAACACATCAATGACATTCTTGACAACAGCCTGTTCCCCTATGATGAAATAGAAAAACTTATACCCGGGGATGCAAACAAAGACTTGTACCGCCATGTTTGTAATATAAACGACTATACATTTGTTGACCAATTAAAAGCGATGAAAATGGGTGCTCCTTTGCAACTGGAAGAAAACAATAATGCTCATATTTTTGGCGAATCGTGTATATTCGTTTTTTCCGATCGGATTGCCCAAACAACGTCAATTAAGATGCAGCTATGTAAAGGAATGTACAGTCAATCTGATGTAGAAGTTTGTCTGGACCAAATTATTGGACTTTTACAAGAAGCGGTTCTTCAACCCGAAATTAAAATTGGAGAGCTAAAAACTGAAACATCTAAACGAATATTAGAAGGTATGTTGATATTCTTTGTTTGTGTAAAAGCACATTGAAAAATATATGCTGTATGGGGACGACGGTGGCTAAGCGGGTAAGGCGCTGGTTCGCTAGCCTGGAGGTCACGTGTTCGATCCCTGCATTGGCCGAGAAAGTTCATCGGGATTTTCCGACGTGGTTTCCCCTTGTCAGTGGCGGAGGGCCTGGTAAGGCCAGCTGTCTAGTCGTTCGGATGGGACGAAAAACCGAGTCCAGTGTATACATTGACAGTTGGAATTCGATATAAGAGTAGGCCATAGGGCCGCTGCCCGGGCAAAACTTCCCTCATAGCTCACTGTATGGTGTATGCCCGTCTTCATTAGCCCAGTCAGAGCAGAACAGTGGGACGTTAAACTCTATTTTATTTCATTTTCTATGCTGTATAAAAAAAGTCTTTATAAACGTTTATATTATGTGCTCCATGGTCTCAGAATTTTGTTATACTAATATGTTATCGTCTCTAACTTTAATCTATGTTCACACGAAACACAATATGTAGCATTGTATTCCATACTTGCAGGGAAATTTAGAAGAGAAACATCTACCGGAGGCCTTAAAGACGTGAATGTGAAGTTTTTCAAACCGGATATTGATGGCGTCATGTTAATGCTGGGAAAAAAGAATATAATGAAAAGTGACGTCATTCAGTTTAATTTTGAAGAAAGGAAAAGTAAGTTATAATCTAGCGTGGACACATCTCTTTATTATACGCCCACATTTCTCATGTGAACGTATATTGTGGTCGCCCCTGCCCGTCTGTTCATTCGGACGTCCGTCCACAATTTGTTTGTGGACACTCACAATTTTTATCCAATTTTGATGAAACTTATGTTTATATCCAAAAGATCTTGGTTCCTGTCGACATTCGTGCATATCGGACCACAACTTCCTGGATTATGGCTCCTGATTGTAAAAATAATCGCAATTTTTTTAGGGCGTTTTCTGTCCATCTCTTGCAAAATGTGGGCGCATCTTGCATGGCAACCGCTTGTTACTGGCATGAAACCGAAAAGGTTACTGCTCTAAAGAAGCAAGTTACTAGCTTGTTATATATTCCATTAGGATCTCTGTTTAATTTTGTTTTGTGTTATTTTCTCTTTAGTGAATTTTTAATAATATTTATTGTTACAGAGAGTGGTGTTCCTATACTTAAACTAGAAACAAAGAAAAGGGTTTATACATTACAGTTTTTAGAAGACAACGTTAGCAGTTGGAAACAAAATTTAATTGATCTGTACAGAAACTTTAGATAATTTGAAACACACAATAATATTATATATTATACCTTTAATTCCCAAACACTTTAGGGCAGAAAAGTCAAGTGAAAGCGAGTACCTGTCGGTACAGTGGTGTTATAGGGGCTATTTTAGGATGTAATGGTCAGTAACAACAAACAGAAATATTTTGCGGTGTATAGTCGCATGTTTAATTAAAAAATGAATTTACAAAATTCAAATATAAATAAATTAATTTGCAGAACTAAGAATAAATTTTAAAAATTCAAAATTAATTTTCAAAATTTAAAAATTCAAAATTAATTTTAAATTTTCAAAATTAATTTTAAAAATTCAAAATTAATTTTAAAAATTTAAAAATTCAAAATTAATTTTAAAAATTTAAAAATTCAAAATTAATTGTAAAAATTTAAAAATTCAAAATTGATTTTAAAAATTTAAAAATTAATTTAAAAAATTCAAAATTAATTTAAAAAATTCAAAATTAATTTTAAAAATTCAAAATTAATTTTAAAAATTCAAAATTAATTTTTAAAATTCAAAATTTATTTTAAAAATTCAAAATTAATTTTAAAAATTCAATATTAATTTAAAAAATTCAAAATTAATTTAAAAATTCAAAATTAATTTTAAAAATTCAAAATTAATTTATAAAATTCAAAATTAATTTATAGAATTCAAATTAATTTATAGAATTCAAAATTAATTTACGAAATTCAAAATTAATTGACAAAATTCAACTTGTATTTACAAAATTCAACTTGTATTTACAAAATTCAATTTGTTTTTACAAAATACAATTTGTTTTTACAAAATTCAATTTGTTTTTACAAAATTCAATTTGTTTTTACAAAATTCAATTTTTTGTTAACGTGCCGTAAATATATGGAATCCTAATATCCAATATTTTAAACATGGTGAACGTAAACGACTGTCGTTCAATTTTAACTGTTTGCGTATTTCACCGAACATAATTGGTTTGATGTTACAATGATATTAAAAACAAATGGATATAAATCACATAATATACATTTATGTTATATTATTATGTGCTTTTAGACCCATTTTAGGGTTCCAAAGAATAGAACCACGTCTCCTTTAAACAAAATGGCTTTCTAACTATTATTATTATTGCAATATATTTACACTTTTCATTAAAACATAGTGGCTTATAGTAGAAAGGCGAATCTCAAAAAAGAAGCTTGGATACGATTTTAAAAATCAGTTCATGCTTAGAGACATGCGTCTACCGCGGCAAGATAGATTTGATGTACGGCATCAGGTTAGGGTGGATACCAAGCATGAATCTTTTAAAAAGGGTCCAAAATTAACCCTTTCCTCAAAATGTCAAAATTCTAGAAAAGCGAATTAAAAAGAGTGGGTATATAAGACGTGCTTTGTAGTGGGTATATGTAAAGTGCGTCGTAAGTCAGATTAGATATTTCTATCACTTCTTGCTTCACATTTTATTCCTAGACACCCCCTCCCAACCCAAACATAACCAGCCTACATAACCATGACAAAAATTCTATATTTTGAAAGTTTCTTGATTTATGTTATATATGGAAACCTGCTTTCATACAATAGGAATCAAATTTTGAACTCGATCAATACTGGTTACTATGGTTATCAGATGTCAATGACCCCCACCCTTTCGGCATATTCCCACTATACAGCCTCCATAACCAAGCCTTTGTTGTGGTTTAGAAATACAACGAGAAATAAGAAGTGATAAAAAATGTCTAATCTAACTGTACAAAGCTAGACGTCTATATTAATGACAAAAATCGACATCTTGGAAGGTTTTTAATTTTTCTTGAAAAGAGGGGCATGATTAATCCAGCAAACGAATCGGACTCTATATAGCAATAGAAGATTTATTGGCGCTTCAACAACTGCCCAGACGAGTCTTCGTTCAGAATCTTCGACCAGAAGCACTTTGCCATTGTATACAATTTTTTTAGGGGGGTGGATGTGGAAAGGATCGGTTTTAAAGGCCATCAAATAGTCATGTGACCTTTTGATCTCTAGGATTACATGTATCCCAAAACGAATTAGTCTATCTCGTAGTCAATTGAGTAGGCTATAAAATCATGTATGATATTTTAATAAGTGATCAATAATAAAAACAACATGGCACTTTATAGATACCTCACCCTTTTTTTTTAAGTTTTCAGAAAACGGATCATTTTTACTACTTTTGTTAAAAAGACAAAACAAATTACGCTTGGCATCCACCTTAACCAGATGCGGCATATCGTGATGCGGTGGATGCATATCTCTAACATGTAATAATATATAAAATGCAATTTTGAGATTCTGCCCCTCTGCTAATATAACTATTGTTATTATAATTGCATTAGATATTATAGATTTGTATTTTTCATTAAGAAATAGTGGCATTATAACTATTTTTATTATTGCAATAGATATTATAGATTTGTACATTGCATTAAAAACATGATAGCTTTAAAGCGGAAATTGCAAATTTTTAAGTTATATTTTTAAAATTTATTAAAATAAAGCCTGAAAATAGATGGTATCTATAAACAGCCCTACCTTGTTAAAGAATAATCCTATAATTCACTATTGCCAGCTGAGAAATTGGCAAAAATATCATTTTCCTTTTCTTTTTGAAACGTTTGAATATCGCTACTCCATGGTGGAGAATAGAAAACAAGGGAGGTAATTGGGAGGTAATTGTGTTATTATTTCCTGTCTAAATGAATCTTAAGTGTGAGAATGACACCTATGATCGTATAATTGTGAGTTGACAACCTATTGAGCAAAAGACATAGAAATAATTACGTTTTGACTTTCTTAGAAAATTTGCAATTTCCGCTTTAAAACAATTGTTATAATTATGCCAACAAATAATATGCATTTAATTTGTACATTTCATTAAACAAAATAGCTTTTAAACTTTTGTTATTATTATTACAATGAATTTTATTATTAATGAGATGTTTTATCTAGTGCATGTTAAAAACAATTATGGCGTAGTTTCAAGAAGAAATAGTAATGTTACAGGCAGACAAGTTGAGTTACCCCCACCCTCTTACTTCACGTTCTCCAAACACTACACTGACGCTTTAATTTAGGGCGATAAATTTTTTAAGATGTATTTCAGTCTGATGCCATTCCTGACAGAACTTCCAGAAATGGGATAATGCGAATTAGGTAATGGCTGAATTATAAAAGTTAAGTTAAATTAGCATTACGAGTAGGTGCTATAGTTTCATGTTGCGCAGAAGAAAGGGGATTCAAATCGGCTTATCCCATGAGGAGGTCGTATAGAGACAGAAATGGGTTTTAAATCCACTGAACACCAACTATGTCATTTCAGGATTAACATCATCATGGTACATTTTCGTTTCAATAAATCGCTCCGTAGGTGTCTTTAACAGTGGGAGGAAACCGGAGGACCCGGAGAGAAGTTAGGCAGGCAACCATAGTCCTTGTCAAGTACAAGTGTGGGGTCAAAATCACGCTACTTGACACAGTGAGATACCTTATGATTTAAAGCGCACGCGTTAGAAGATTCGATCCCCACCAACCCCACCACTACCCCTGGAGAGGGACAAGAGGGCTTTGTTGTGATTTGTGATTGCTAACCGCGATGCTGTATGTGTTAAACAAATGGCTGTGTTTCTGTAAAGCGGTTCTGTTTAATAGCCAGGAGGCAATACCGTAGCTTTGTGATATGGTCAAAGGCTACAAGTTCGTGCGCTCAATGAGCATTTACAGTAGAATGTTTGATAAATTACATAATTTCAGGCCCGTAACTAAGGCGGGGGGAGGTCGGATGGAGGAGGCGCAGGTCCCCTGCAAAAAGTTTCGCCCCAACCCCTGTGAAGAAAATTTCGACCATAAAAAAATAGATATACATTGTCCGTCAATATTACAGCACCCCTGAGAACACTTCCCGCCCCCCTTGTTGCTCTGAGCTAGTTACAGCCCTGCATAATCTACTGAGCGATATCTCGCTTTACATGAATTTTCAAAGAACAGTTCATTTTTTATTAAAAATAAGCTTTTATTATTAAACAGAACTATTTTTAGTTAATTGACCTTGATAGAAACACTGGGTCAATATAAAGGACTTTGCAATGGTTAAATTGCTGTATAAAACATGATGTATCACTTCGCTTTAATGTAATCAGGTTCAGTAAAAGTGAAGTTTATAGCAAAGAATTATATTTATCTATTTCTGCATGTAAGAAAGGATTGGGTGGTAAGTAAAATCTCCTACTCGTCTTTTTTGATATAAAAAATATCAACTGAACACTCGTCGATAAAGTAAAATAAACTGGGCAATGCCTCGTTTTGTTACTGTATCGACTTGTGAAGTTTTTTTTTACTTTATCGACGAGTGTTGATATTTTTTTATATCAAAAAAGACGAGAAGGAGATTCTCTATTTATCAAGAACTATAGGTGCAATAACTGATGCTTAGCTAATAGTTCCCATCATGGACATGTAGGAACAACACCTAGTGCAGGATAACACGTTCGCCTGTACCCCTCGACAGGATTGCAACGAGTCTGAGATTTCATGCCCAGCCCCTGTAAAATTACAAACTATATATCGAATTATTAAGTATATTCAAGCAAACAATAACTTTATAAATTCAACATTTTTTAACTGATGTACATAATGTGATTTATGAAAAACCTGACGTGTATACAATTCACAAAAGTATAATTTAGTTACCCTAAATAAGTCACATGAAATTGATATAAATTATGATTGCATGCTATTGAATTCAAATTCTGTTACTTTTATACAAGGCCTTGGCCTTAACAGTGGATTATTTTTTACTACCGGTAAAGTACCGAAGGCTACTATATTTCTCTAATAAAATTCATCATAGAATAGAAACATAAACTCCGTAATAGTAACCGTAGTATGATAAACACCAAGACGAGTCCTATTAAAATATAAAATTAAACAATAATAGAAATATTATTATAAAACTCGATCCCTGCATAGGCCGAGAAAGTTCATTCTGGTTTTCTGGCGTGGTTCGATCTTGTCAGTAATGCAGGACGGAGGGCCTGACAAGGACAGCTGTCTAGTCGTTCGGATGGGACGAAAAACCGAGGTCAAGTGTACACATTGGTGTAGGCCGTAGTGCCGCTGTCCGTTCAAAATTTCCCTCATAAAACACTGTATGGCATATGTCCGTCTTCATTAGCCCAGTTCTGAGCAGAACAGTAGGACGTTAAACCCTATTTCATTTCATTTCTTTAGTATAAAACACACATACCGGCTATAATGTACAATGTGAAATATCCCGCCCCTACATAGCGACATAGTTCTTTGCGCAAGCGAAAGGGTGCTTTATGATTACATGATTTGGAAGAAATAGACTCCTCTTTTGTTTGTCCAAAGAAATATGTCGCTATCAGACAAAACCTAATTTCTAAAATCAGTATTTGTTACAAAAAATGCAAATAATAATCAGCAATTTTAAAGATGTTATTGTTAACACTTTATAATATATTAATGGTCTAAGCTTTAAACTCGAGTCTTATAAACTTGTGTATTATAAAACGACAATTAGGAGGATGTGATTAAAAGAAGAAATAATATATTTACAAATATGCAACGTCTATTCTGTATTCAGTATTAAAACTGTGTCTAGCACTTTTTCAACAAGTTAACTTGACAAAAATATATATTATATATAACCACAAAAGCATGGTTATAGTTCATACTTTGAGCATGCTTATGGATGGATTTGGCGCTTAAGAAATGGACATTTATTATTATTACTATTAAATATAAAACCAAAATCAGAAAAATATTCAGCACTATTATTAGATTTAATTTAAAACAGCAAATACAAAATAACACGGGAACGCACACTGTTTTGGTCACTTTAACTACCCTCATCGTCGATTCTAAACCCTGAATACCTTGCATCAACCCCCCCAAAAAAACTGGAACTGGAATTCCACATAACTTTTACTAAATGTATCGCGTATCATTATAGATAAAAAACATTTCTGTCCAACACTAACGTAACAGTCAAAATATGCAAAACTTTAACTAGAGTTGTCTCCCTTATTCTCATCTCAATCTTGACCCTGAACTTGACGAATCTCCAATCATGACAGACGAAAAACACTGCACTCCCAAGTCAAACATTCAAAATACACACGTGTATGGTACAGATAACGTTAGCATGTAAAACTTATGTTTACTAAAGACATTAGGTTTGTTTAAAGGTTTTTCCGTTGATTTTACAAAAAGTCTTGTCGTTGCTATACACAATATATTATCCTGATCACTATGTTCTATCTTGAACGAAACCATGTTTTAGCAGATCATCGGCAGACGGACGATCGCCTTGGGTTATTTGAAATGCAAGTGCTAAAAATTCCTTGGCCAAATCGGTCACATCTTTTGGTAGTTCATATTTTGGATGTTTACAATTGCCGATTTGAAAAATTGCTGCAAAAGTTTCATATTCATGGAACGGAGGTTTAGTAGAAAACATTTCAACAATCGTACAGCCAACACTCCTGAAACCAACACAAAATAGAAATGTCTATTACGACTAAAATGGGTATGTTTAATCATTAGAAGATCTTACAAGCAGACGTACATTTTGTAGACTTCTGAAGAGATAACTGTAGGCTACTGCTAATACATTCCCAATTGTCCGCAGGGGGTCTTATTAACATCGCTAGGATCAAGTACGAAGTGGTCACAGTACATGTACATGTATTCAGGGTATTATTTGTATCTGTCCAATGCACCTCAGGTCAAAAATATTATTGTAAGTGTAAATCATTCAGTCTTTCAAAATACAACAGATTCTGTCTGTTCTTTACTGATAAACGTCTCACTTTTCTTCACCAATTGGGTTTTGCATCTCATCCAAACAACACCACTAACAAAGGAGGAGACATGTCGGAAAATCGTGAGCATTTTATCAGCCAACAGCTGGCATCAAACCAGGGACCCAGTGAGCCAATGCCATACTCAGTGGGCCACCGTGGAAACCCTGTAATGACAAAAGTGAGATAAATTGCTTTACCAAATATCAGCTTTTCGACCATAACCTTCACTCTTGATGACTTCAGGTGCCATCCAGTAGGGTGTTCCCACATATGTCTTTAATCCACTAGCACTACGAAGCTTCTCGAGTCTTTTAGAGGCACCAAAATCTCCCAGCTTTACATTGCCTTGAGTATCCCTTAAAATATTAGCAGCTGAAACAGAATGAAATTAAGATCGTTTTGGTGATATTTCCAAATGACTCAATATTAAAAACTGAAACATTCACACAAGGTAATAAACAGACCATTTCTTTACATTTTTGCAATTGGTTTGAAGACTTAACCAATAAACCAGAGAACCAGTAAAACCGGAGACTTCATAATTGGATTGAACATGTCAGCAATCACACACAGAGGAATATTCTTCGGCAACAACGTTCAAGTTATATTTGTTGGTAACTTTACCCGGTCACTAAGTATAAAATGTTGACTGGTTAACTCTGATGAACAATATGCTACTAACCTTTAATATCACGATGTACAATGTCGTTTTTATGAAGATAGGATAAACCCAGTAACACCTGTCTCGAATACTTTCTAACGAGGGGTTCCTGAATTCTACCAATTTCATTGATTAAGTCTTTTACTGAACCCTGAAAATACAAAATCAAATTAATCTAATTGTTTTCTTTTTATTTTAATATGAAATGGAACTTAATGTTCTGGTAGAGGTTCTGCATCAAAGGATACATGCAGATCGCTGGGATAGCAAACCAAAATCAAATACGACTAGAATATGTTGTGTTCAGTTTTCTTCTTATATTGGAGCCAAATTATTTAGCTGTAGAGATGTCCAAGGCCGATGCTTTCGTATTACTGTTCAAAAATTAACAAGCAAGCGAAGGCTACTAAGCTAAATAATTGTCCATGGAAACAATTCTTTTCTTTATCTAATGAGCAAAATGTACAATTATGGTTTATGTGATATGTTTGGGAAACAAAACTGGAACAGAAGACCATATCCCTTCCTATCTTTATTGGATGTTGGATGATAATAAATAAAGAACTTACCCCAGGCATATATTCTATAAATATTGATAATACTTTATCTTCATTCTGACATCCATAATATTGAACTATTCTCTCATCTTTAAAACTCTTCAGAAGATTTAATTCGTTCTCTAAAGCTCGCACTTCCTGTAAGATCAAAAAAAAAAAAAAAATAATTATCAAAAGATTGGTTATATGAGATTAACACACAATTTTTTTATTAAGAATGTGTGAAATGCTAAGGAGCGAGAAATCAAGACTAATGCATTTTTATACGCCCATAGAGGCCATAATTTACGACGGATTCTTTTCAAATTTGGTGTGAAGCATTGTGGCCATGCAAGGACGAACCCTATTGAATTGCAGCATTAGGAGTTATCAAATTTGGATGAAAGTTATCTGTTCCATCGTTACCCCCACCCCACTCCTTTGCCGAAAGCCTTGTTAATGCGATATAAGCTACAATAGAGCTACAGTTGTTTTTATTATGATTCATTTAGATATGGTGTGAAACACTACCATGAGAGGGCGAACACTATCGATATTTAACGTTTTGCGACCTTTCCGTTTCGGTGTTACCCCCCCCCCCCCCCAAATTCCCATCGCTTTGCTGAAAACCTTGTTTGTAAACACGATAGGGGCTGTAGTCTTTAGGTGACATTGGTTGTAAGCATCGGAAGTCATGCGGGGACGAACCGTATTAATATTAATCATGACTTTCCGTTCCGGGGTCACCCCGCCCCCTTGAGAATGTAACACTATCCTGGTCACGGATGATCAAATCGAATATGTAACACGATGCCTTATAGTGCTATGCTATGCTATGTTAAGAGTCGCTGGTTAGATGTGGAAAGACAGACTGACTTAAAAGCTGCCCACATCCAACGTGTAACGCATACTCTCTTCACTGCTACATATTATAAGGAGGCAGACCACCATTAATCTCTCCATTGACTTCAATGTTAATTCTGGCCTTTTTTGCCCACCTCCAACTTTTCCCCAAATTTTCGTTGGGCTGAATGCTTTTCACTACAGACAGAGGAACAAATGGTCATGTCTTTGCACTAAAATTTGTATGAGGTTGACCACCAAAATTTTGAGATACACAAACTTGAAGAAGCATACTAAAAACATGTAACTAGTTGCCGTACATATCGCCGTAGCCAACCTGATAACCCTGTTATCCTTCTGCCTCAAAATCATGAATATTTACCAAAACCTGGCAGAAAATGTTAATTCAAACTCTCGTTGTCCATTCTAGACCAAAAAATCAACAAAAAAGAGAGAGAGAGAATTGCTATAAATAGACGAACTACAATTCGTGGGTACCGAGATGGTGAAATTTAATGGTGGTCTGCCTCCATAATAGCCTTGTGATCGTCTAGTATTGTTTCTGGTTATTTTTGTAATTATTTACTCTAGGACTTAACTTTAAACCTCGTGTATACGGCCCGTGACACTAGAGTGACACTATGATCAATTCGGAACTAACTTTGACTTTACACTGTGCATATGATCAATTAACAAGTTTATATATCGAATACAACATCCATAATACAAAGGTTATATACAGGAAGCTACACACACAGCCATGACATTACATATAAGCTAAATATAAGTTCTCTATCTCCTAGCTTGTGTTTTATGGTGGTCTTTCCTAGACTCACAGCCGAGGAGGCTGTGGGTATGATGTTCCCCTGAACTCCGAAATGATGTCTTCTCTAGGATCTCTCAATGATATCTGAAGGGAAAGTTAACCCCGCTCTTCTTATATACAGAGGATACGTGAATGAGTCATGTATTGGACCCCGGGAAATTGACCTGGTACTTCCTTTATCGGATTGGTCAGCTGCACAAACGCTACCCTGGATTTAAATCCATTGTACTAACATGGGCACAAGGGGGTGAGGGTGGGATGACACAGTTGTGTCTAAAGCATGGGATTACCATATTTGGATTATCAGACTATGATGCCATTGCCCGATGTTAAACTACCTAGTTCTATTTGTCACTGGTACTACTAGCTAACGACTATTAAAATACATTAACCAGAGCCTCTACAGTACATAGGCCCTATAGTATTATAACAGTGATTCTCAACCAATAGTATAATATTGTTATAGTTTCTTACCTTGGGGGCTTTAGCATTCAGATTACCAAGTTGAACTATTTTAACAGCGTATTCACAACCTGTATCCATGTCATAACATTTATATACCTCACCAAATCCACCCTTACCTAATAACTCACCTTTCTTCCAATTAATAGGTATACACGGAGCTGAAAATATACAAATACACAACCACATTACTTTCATTAAATGACCAAAACTCACAAAATATGGGGGATTAACGCAGAATTATTTCTCAATAAATTATCGAGACACGACATCTATACCCTGTTATTAACCATGTCTTACAGACGTCAATAACCTAATGTAAAGGCAAGACCTGTAAGTTCTAGACACGACGATAGGGACATGAGCAGCTGAAGGAAAAGTAATATTCCCGGGATAGGTGTGAATGAAACTGATCACAGGTGACAAGAGAGACAACCCTTGTACTTGTAGATTTTAAAATTCAGGCCAGAAAATCACAATTTTCGATTGTTTGTCAATAAATTAAACTTGTACATGACACCTTTGCTGTTTCGTTAGACATGTATTCAAATATTAAACAAGTGGTTGTCATGTAAGATACGCCTATATTTTCCAAGAGCTGGACGGAGAACGGGGAAAATCAATAGGACTCATCCTCTCAGTTTCCCGATGCCTGACATTAAAATCCAGAACAAATTGGGGACAATGAACATTGATCAAAATATACATTGTTTAACATATTGATTGTATCATTAATATTCTCCAGTCTGTGTATTAACAAAATAATACGCTAAAATCCACATCATAATTGGGAAATGCTCTAAGCGCTGAACACACACCAAGCACAATATAACACAATATATTTAAAACATAACGTTTGAAAAGATGGGTCTTTAGGTTTGATTTAAATGAAGTTAATTTTTCAGCAGACTTTAGTTAAAGGGGTAAGGAATTCCAAAGCGTTGCAGAGATACATGTATATGAAAAAGACCTGACACCAAGCACAATATAACACAATATATTTAAAACATAACGTTTGAAAAGATGGGTCTTTAGGTTTGATTTAAATGAAGTTAATTTTTCAGCAGACTTTAGTTTAGAGGGGTAAGGAATTCCAAAGCGTTGCAGAGATACATGTATATGAAAAAGACCTGACACCAAATGTTGTCAATTTGTATTTGGATGTCTGAAGCAGATATTGATCGGTAGAACGCATGGACCTGGCTGGACATATGGGTCAACAATATCCTGTTAACAGTTTAACATGTTAAAGAGAGCTCCTTAAAATGAATTCTAAGCCAATGTAGAGAGCTTAGAGCTGGAGATACGTGAGGACGCAGTTTAGTCCTAGTGCCATTCTGGCACAGTGGTTCTAAATTTGTTGAAGCCGATATAGCTGTTCTTGCAAACAGACCATTTCCGTAGTGCCATCGAAATAAGGTTCTGACAGAAATGTATGCAGATAATCTTTGTTTTTGAGAAAAGTGAATTTAAACAAAGATGCAACTTACGTTCGGTTATCCGCATGTGTGTAAAACCATAGCACATCTAAAAGTCATCAACTTAAAGATAACCATTCGTACCTGGTTTAAGGGACTCTTTGATCGGATAATTTTCATCGTGAAGAGTCTTGGTGATAAGATACTTCCCTGAGAAACAACCATATTCCGAGGAAATGTCTCGGAACATATTGATCACACTCATACCTTAAATGACCTTTTTAATGAAGACAGGTAAGTTACATCGTAGGCCGGGGCTATGGAGATCGCGTATGTTACCATATTCTTATGTGGTATAATAAGTTTTCTCCAGATAAAAAAATATTGCAAATAAATGTTGCTTCTGGGTGATTACGTCCTTGACTATGGAAGACCAAACAGCTCTTTATTCTGTGTTCTTAATTCTTGGTTTTTAATTCACAGTCCGTCCTTAATTCTTATTTTTATCTTAAAATTAACATTGTTATCTTAAAATTAACATTTTAATCTTAAAATTAACATTTTAATCTTAAAATTAACATTGTTATCTTAAAATTAACATTTTAATCTTAAAATTAACATTTTTTTATCTTAAACTTAACATTTTTTATCTTAAACTTAACATTTTTATCTAAAATATTAATTTGTTTTACAAAATTAAGATAGTTCCGTTCAGATATGCATGAATATCTACATGAAAATGTGGGCGTATAAAAATTACATTTACATTACACCAGAGGCATACAACGAAAAACAAATCCCGAACAAACAAACTTCGAAATGCAAATCTCCAAAAACCAATCTTGCAAAACCAATGTCACAAAACATTTCTCCAAATTCAACAGTATGACGACAGGGGACGCTAGTGGTGTACCGTGTAATGATCACAGTGTCGGTGATCTAAGTAGGCCAATTCCAAATTAAAGGACAATATTGGCGCCAGTCATTATCACATGTGTGATAGAACTGGTTAAACACTCTTAAATACTTTTAACAGAGATCATTGCTACGATAGTTGCGTTATTAAGATTTCAACAATCGGAAGTGACGAACGGAAAAGGAAAACACAAGTTATCCCTCTATATAACTGACTGAAGTTACGAGTGATAACAGATACATAGGCGAATGTCTGCTCACTAATAATTCCTTTCAAGACCAAAAGTTGTTGTGTGAGATTGTGAGAGGAAATTTGACAATTCATAAAAAGAGTTGACTGTCACTAGATAAGAGAACACGAAAGAAAAATCCATGCATTACCATGTTTTTATTAAGTACTAAATGCAGAAAAACAAGGGAATGTACGGACTATTTCTATTTTTCTCGTGTTCTTTTATCTATTGACATTCAATTACTTTTTTGAACCACATATCCCCCACAACTTCGCGACCAGTATCAGTTTCGGCAAGATTTAGAAAGCAGACAACTGCTTCAGCCTTATTGACAACTGATAGTAATAGATTATCGTGTACTTATTGTCACCAACCACATCCATCCAATAAGTGTAGCAATGTTACAAATATTGAAGCAAGACGCAGTATACTAAGGAGGGATAAACGTTGTAATATTTGCCTCAGAAAGGATCACATGAGTTTCAATTGCGACCCAAATAAAAGACGGCCACATTGTCAAGAGCATCATCATATTAATATTTGTGAAGCCAGAGGTCGAAATGTGTCAATCAACAATAAGCATTCTCTGCACCAAAGATATTCCCAACCCTCGTCATCGCATTATCAGCCTTTGACTAATCAGCCAGTTCAACCATCACAAAGATTCCAGTCAAATAGAAATAATGAAGGTTCAACATGGTTTCAGGAAAATCGAGGAAATTGCCATGGTCAGATGGATACAACACAGAATTCATTTATTCATTGTCGATGTTTATTAATTCGTCAACAGCAATTTTGATACCCACAACAAGAGCTGTTGTATTTAGAAATGAAATGAATCGAAATGGGGTTTAACGTCCTACTGCTCTGCTCCTAAACTGGGCTAATTAAGACCGGCATACGTCATACAGTGTGCTATGAGGGAAATTTTGCCCGGGCAGCGGCGCTACGGGCTACTCTTAAATCGAATTCCAATTGCCAAGGGATCTTTTACGTGCACGCCAATGTGTACACGGGACCTCGGTTTTTCGTCCCATCCGAACGACTAGGCAGCTATCCTTGTCAGGCCCTTCGCCCTGCATCACTGACAAGGGGAAACCACGCCGGAAAATCTGGATGAACTTTCTCGGTCAATGCAGGGATCGAACACCCGACCTCCAGGCTAGCGAGCCAGCATCTTACCCACTTAGCCATCTAGTGATCCCCTGTCAGATTAGATGTTAGGATGATATTTGACAGTGGTAGTCAACGCACATATATAAACAGAGCCATTCGAAATTATCTTTGCTTGCCAGATGTTGAACAGAGAACCTTTATGATCAAGACATTTGGATCAGCATTTAAGACCACCCCCACCCGACTTTAGATATACAATTTATCAGACTTTATATGTTGTAAGCCTAGACATTAGCACCATCAACGGAGATATCCGGATATTAGCAATAGTTGTTCCATTCATATGAGACAAATTATGTAACCGATCTTTAGACAGCGCTCAAAATGGATTCCCTCGTCTGAGAAATTTAAATTTTGCAGACTATAACGGAGAACAGAATGTCCTGATGATAGATATGTTAATCGGGTCAGGTGAATATTGGAATTTTGTAACCGGAGAAGTTGTACGGGGGGGGGGGGGTGACCCTACCGGTTTGAACACAATATTGGGAAGGGTATTATTTCGTCCGATGAGTCATACAACCAGTGACGAAAGCCGCTATGAGATAATATAAAAAAAAAGAATAGCACAATTGCAAATACCCAAATAACCTAGAACAGGAATATATATCCTATAATTTATGCAAAGTATCATTACGATTGTACTGCAGACATTTACCCTGGCTTGTAAATGATTTAGTACAATTCTCACATTTATTCATGTTTCTCCCCCCCCCCCCTGCAACACTAATAACTGTACATGGCTATAATTTATTACAAGCAAGGTTTTTAAAATTAATGATGAATAGTTGAATGTGTATTTAAATGAGATTTATGAGTAAATGATTTACTACAAACATCTCTTCTCCTTTAGGTATGTCCAGAAGCTGATGATAAAATGGTTTATGAAAGCATAACAATGAAGCAACAGATTATAGATATTCAAGTAACAATTACCCCAAAAAGTTCTCTTCACAAACTACAATACGTTGATCATGTTAGACGTTCCTAAAGTAAATAATGTAAGGTTTGAACAACAACCTTTGCCTACCCCAATCAGCTGATGTTAAACAAAAAGCTTATACATCAGAAAATAAATTACTTGAATGTTTGTACAAAGTTTCAAAAAGATTTCTTGAACAGATAATGAAATATGCTCCAGAAACAAAATCAGGACGGAAGACTTGACATCAGAAAATAAAAAAATGGGTTGATGAATGTAAAAGTATTATAAAAGGTATCTTGAACAGTCAAATTTGTTTCCATGGAAACACATAAACTTATTAACGCTGAGAAATTCAAAATAAGCAAAACGCACAACTATCACAGATTGATGTTTGTACACGTGCCAAAAAGATATCTTGACCGATTTATGAGATTTGCTCCGGAAACAAAATCTAAGTCAAATTTGTTTCCATGGAAACACAAAAATATAAATCCCAGAAATTCCTAAATAACAAAAGGCACAACTACTGTAATAGGTTATTTGTGTACAAAGTTGCAGAAAGATATCTTGGAATGGACGGACCCCATTTCAATATCGCTCCCTAACTTCGTTCGGCGCGGGATAATAATCGGTGGACTTGTTTGACATTGTATTGTTAAAGGTATATGCAGTTGTTTTTGTATTACCTCAAAAAATGATTGAATAATAAAGTCAAGATTGCTTGAAAGAGAGCCGTGTCAAAATGAACCATCGCATCCAAAGTCCAATACCCTACATAGAATGGCTGCGCTATACGTTTTTTTTAATAATATACAATCTTCCTCGTAATTTAAAGATTACATAATAATTATTAAACTCTTTATATAATTAAAATCTTAAACAATGTAATACAATTTTGTAAAGAATTCCGTTGGGGAGATGATTTATACTAAAATCGTTTCTGATTGATAGAAAGACTTATATGGTAATTGTTTTGTTTTAATAAACGTTGCATTTATTATTTTAAAAATCGTGCATGCCCTATAAATATTTTCTTTTGTGTTTTGAGTAGGTTATTTTCAAATAAAATCTCCAGTGTAATAAGACTATTGTCTTTTAATCTAACCGAATGATTGATTGACTGAGTGATTTGCTGCATATTGGCACTAATCTTTGATTACAGAAAGCCACTTTCTAAGTCACATATCTAAAACGGGTCTTACATAAAAAGTAATAAAAGAAAATGTTTAATGTCTTCTTATTCTCATTCTTTTTTTTAAACAAACTGGTTGCTCAAGAGGGACAACAAGCCCGATTTTTCGTATAAAAGTTTCTTATTCTCATTCTTTTTTTTAAGTTATAATAAATTGGATTTGTGTTAGATACGCTTAATTTACTTCTTTGGTGCTATAAAATTTGAAGCTTGTCATATTGGAGATATTTATATGTGCCATAAAATGTAATTGACAATTTCATGATTTTTGGAAAGTGATTAATTACATTTCCATTACTCATGACTTTTAAAATCTCCCATTACTCATTACATGGTCAGTACTTAAAAAATGTAATGATTACATTCCATTACTATTACCCCAGCCCTGGATCACAGCCGTTTAAATCAAGGGGCAGTAACTCTAATTTTATATTTAATGAAATAATAACCGACAGATTAGTTCATTAAGACGTTACTGATATTGATTACCTTCACTATTTGTTCCAGAAATATCATTAACGACTACAGGTGTCTGAAACATAAAAGCAAAATTACGCTGAAATAGAAAACCCTTTGTACAATAAATTAAAAACAATCAAGCAACAATTTTGTTTTAGTGCTAGTGAGCATTAAAAATATGTTGCGATTTTTGAATTTAGTATTAATAACATTCAGGGAATCAAGACACATCCGGGTGGGGAATCAATGGGAACCACGTGTACAAATTGGTAACGTATGTTGTGGTGTTTAGATAAACAATGAATTAAAGATAGAGAGAAAAAGATATTAACTATCCATAGGCACACCAGAACAAGTTTTCGGGCTACTTAATTTGATGCATATTTGTAGGATAAGTAAACGAGTGGCTTTTACTGCACCCCGAAGATTTGTTTGGCTTTCTATATATATATATACATATAGTGACGGGGGACTGTGCATAAAAATTTATAGGGGCCTAGGCCTATTGTTTTACCTTCCTCTCATGGGTGTACTGCCTCGCAAAGGAAAGGGGCATTATCTACACTTTTGACCAAAATACATTTTTGGTGTCGTTGTGATCAGCAGTATCTTTTCTAACCCAATTATATAAAGAGATATACAGTGTCGATTTGGGCAGTAAATGTAAATTGCCTTGGTACAACTAAAGAGAAAAGTGTAGATACTTCCGTTCTCCTTGGTACATCTATGGCAAATTTTTCGCAGTAAATGTAAATTGCCCTGGTACAACTAAAGAGAAAAGCAGTAAATGTAGATACTGTCGTTCTCCTTGGTACATATATGATAACCTAAGACGAGGTGTTGGCAGTAAATGTAAATTGCTCTAGTATAACTAAGGAGAAAAATAGTAATTATGTTAGGGTTTGGACTCAACTGAATGTGGAAATGTCTTGAACAATATTTATGGGTGCAAAAATGTGACAAACTTTAAAGTCGAGTTTCTCAAAATGATCATTTTGCAGATACTGCCTTTCTCTTCTTCAGGGCAGTGTGGTATGACCGAATGGTTAAACGTGTGCGCTTTAAATCACAGGGTCTATCGTCGAGTCCAAGTTGCGTGGTTTTGTTTCATTTCCTACTTGTATATGACAGAGCGTTGGTCACCTGTCCACCCTCGTATACTCCCACACCTACGAGGAGTGATTGATAAGTAGTGAGCCTAACACAGAAAGAAACAAGAAATTTTTCCTCTCTCTCACCTTCCTCTCAGAGACTATATCTCTTTTTATTGTTGGTCTCTCTCTTGCTATCATGGTCGGGCTCTTTCTTTCTAACGTCGGTCTCTCTATTTTATCACTAGTTTTTTTTTTATTTACTTCATCAACTCTATCACCTGCCATTCTCACTACAACATAAACCCGATGAAAATTAACGGCGATACATTTAAAGAATTTTTACAACTGGATAGAAATTGTGACCCAGCTTTCAATGGTCCGCAAGCTAAAATCACTATTTTTTTCGTACAATGAGGGGCCATAATCTAGGAAGTTACAGTCTAATATGCGCGAATATCGACAGCAACAAAGATCTTTGGGATATAAACATATATTTTAAGTTTCATCAAAATCAGATCAAAATTGTGACCTCTAGAGAGTCCACAACCTTGATATTAATACTGTCACACTATTTTCGTACAGGGAGCGGCCTTTTGTCGGACAGTTTCGGTCCGATTTTCATGAAATCCGAACTCAACCGTCATTATGGTGATATTTTTTAAACCATTAATAATAATAATAATAATAATTATTTATAAAGCGCTGAATATCCAACAAACTGGTTGCTCAAGAGGGACAACAAGCCCGATTTTTCGTATAAAAGTTTTTCAGCTTGTTCCTAAAAACAGAAAAAGACGTATGTGTAATGGGAGCTGTATGGTGGCCCATGGTCGCAATAGCGTTTTTTGTGTTATTTTTGGTATTTCATTTAAAATAATAAAAATATTAGTACAAAAAAAAAAAAAAAGAAACATTTTTTTTTTTTACAAAATAAAAAAAAATAATCTTCTAAAATTTAAAAAAAAAAATCTTTTTAAAAAATTAAAAAAAAAAATCTTTTTAAAAAATTAAAAAAAAAAATCCTAAAAAAATCTTTTTAAAAAATTTAAAAAAAAAAAAATCTTTTTAAAAAATTAAAAAAAAAAAATCTTTTTAAAATTTAAAAAAAAAAATCTTTTTAAAATGAAAAAAAAAAATCTATATATATATATATATATATATATATATATATAAAAATAATAAAATATATTTTAAAAAAAATAAAAAAGAAATAATATTAAAAAAAAAAAATTAAATGAAAAAAAAAAAAAATTGAAAAAGAAAAGATAAAAAATAATTCCCGACGTGGCCCATCGTCGCAATAGTGTCTTGAGTATCCAGACCCAGTATACAGCTATCATTAGACTAGAGCGACCAGAAAAATTTTGTGGCCCATTGTTGCAGTAGTATCTCGATGAATATGTGTGGGATCTATGAAGAACGTTTAAACTCGAACGACAAGAAACGAGTCTGTAGTTATCTCACGTCAACATAATTGTAGATACTTCAATTTTGATTAGCTAAGCACTAAAATAAATCTAATATTATCTATTATCCAATCAAATATTAAAATTTGAATTTTATCTTAGTAAAACAGGCCCCAGACGAAGTCCACGTAGGCTATCATGCTCTATTTTGTCTTTGAAATTGATGTTGTCCGCCATCGCACTTTCGCACCTCTTACCCGTTCCTGTGGTCGTAGCGGGGGACTAGCGATGACCTCAGGGAGAGCAGGGGTTTCACAAAAACAGAAGCTAAAATCACTAACATAGATTTTAAAATCAAAGTGAAATTTTAAATTTATGCGTTTCACGAAGATCGATTGTAACTTAAAATTTAATTTGAATAGATTTTAGTTAAAATTACTTGTGCCTTGATGTGAGGTAACTATAGACTGGTTTCTTGTCGCTCGAGTCTATACCATACGTTCTTCATAGATCCCACACAGGATAATCTGAACGACAGACCCACGATGTTTGACAGGTCACCCTACTCCTTGTCACGTACAACCGGGGATTCGAAATCACGCCAGTTGACTCAATGACGGCCTTTATGATATGATAGGCTTTATGATACAGCGCGCACGTGCTAACCATTCGCCCCCCCCCCCGGCTACTTAGTAGTAGTAGGCCTATACTTCGAGGATTAGTTTCAAAGTTGTTAACTACTTTTGAAATTCGACCTCAGGGAGACCAAGTGTTTTAAAAACATTACATAAGCCTTTTGAGGGGAGAATAGGCCTTGCGCACTAGTAGGCCGAATGGTGTCATTAAAGTCAATGACTTCAAACGTCATTATGTATGTAGGCCTAGTTCTAGTTAGACTGGATAAACTAGTCTAAATGACGCTAGGCTTCTATAGTCTATTAATTATACATTTCTATTGACTTGCATATGTATAAACACATATATCCAAGTCCATAGACGTCATGGGTGGAAAAATTGTGTTTCACGTGTTGATGTCTGTTTACCCTTTTCCTTTCGGAAGGGGAGATAACTACAAACTCGTTTCTTGTCGCTCGAGTTATGCCACATAGGATAATCGAGACACTATAGCAACAATGGGCCACGGGGTATTTCTGGTCACTCGAGTCGAATGATAGCTGTCGTAGGCTGATTTTATACTGAGTCTGGATAATCAAGACACTATTACGACGATGGGCCACGTGCAGAATTCTTTTTTTGATTTTTTCTATTTCACTTATTTTTTTTTTTAATTAGAATGTTATTTTTTTTATAGATTTTTTTAATCTTAAATATTTTATTATTTTTTTTTATATAGATTTTTTTTTATTTTAAAAAGATTTTTTTTTTCTTTAATTTTAAAAAGATTTTTTTTTCTTTTTAATTTAAAAAGATTTTTTTTTTCTTTTTAATTTAAAAAGATTTTTTTTTCTTTTTAATTTAAAAAGATTTTTTTTTTCTTTTTAATTTAAAAAGATTTTTTTTTTCTTAAATTTTAAAAAGATTTTTTTTTTCTTAAATTTTAAAAAGATTTATTTTTTATTTTGTAAAACAATAGAAAAAAAAAATTCTTTTTTTTTACTTTTATTTTTTATGATTTTAAATGAAATACAAAAAATAACCCCAAAAACGCTATTGCGACCATGGGCCACCATAGAGCTGATTCTAGAGATACTGCGCTGAGTATGAAAATGCACGTTTTCCAGTCTCAAGTGTTACACAAGGGATCTTTAATAAGTGTTTATCTGATTAACATAAATTTCGGCTTGTAGTATAAGGTACTATCATGTGTTAGGTGTAGGTAGGTGATTGTGAATTTTAGAGCTTTAAAAGTTAATAAAATCTTGAAATTAATTCGCTGTTTAACGGATAGTCAATGTAATGATGATAATGTACCAGAAGTGCTCTCAAATCGTCCTTTCCCATTTAGCAATCTGGCAGCTGAATTCTGAACATATTATAGCTTCTTTGTGAGGTTTCCTGCAAGTTGACACAGGAAAGCATTGTGATAGAGGAGCTTAGATGTTAAGACAGATTGTACAAGTCTTTCTAGATTATCTCTGTTTAAATACTTTCTGATCTTGTTGATATTATGGAGATGGAAGAAGGATGAGGAACAGACCGCCTGAACATATTCTTTAAAACAGGTTGGAATCAATAACGACTCTGATATTTTTGGTCTTTCCTAGTTTAATGATCTCCTTGTTGTCAAAGTTAAAGGTAATATTTTCAGATCGCAATTGTATTTGTTACTTTTTATAACGTTATTTTTCGGGATTTAGCTTCAGAAAATGTTTTGTCATCCAATTGTGTATTTATTCAATACAGTTTTGGACACTGGACACAGTCAAGAGTTGGGATGCGAGAATTTACATCGAATTTCAAATAGAGTATCATCAGCAAAAAGATGGGATGTTAATCCAAAATATGCCTTATCTTTGTACATGTCTTCGTGAAGATGATGAATAGGACAGGACCCAATGCCGAGCTTTGTGGAATACCACATACCATGTCAAGTGTCTCTGATTTTGAGGAATTTATTCTGACACATTGAAATCTACGTCGTAAGTACGATTTAATTCAAGAGTACACAGAATCACGAAGACAAATTTGGAACCTCAGTTTTTCAAGCCCATTATTTATGTCGAGAGTATCGAATGCAGCGGATAGGTCCAAAAGTATCAGAAACACACATTTCTGAGCATCGATAGACTGAAGTTTATACGAGTTGAGTTAGAACACATTTTTCAATAATTTTGGATAGGAAACTCAGATTACGGACTGGACAGTAGTTTTTTAAACATCCGTATGGAGTGTGGAATTCTTAAAAAATGGTTTAACAATTGCACGGCGCACTTCAACAGGGAAGATTCCATCAGAAAGCGACTTGTTTAATATCTGAAACAGTAGCGGGAGCAGCAGATCGATATGTTCCGTGACGAACAGGTATGTTCGTACTGGATCCAGTGTGCAGGTTTACGTTTCATAATGGTCTTCTTCAGTTCAGGCTCGGTAAATATGAATTCGTCTTAAGTAGCCGTTGATGGTTCTCTGAAAGAACATGGAATCATTTCTGATTGTTTTTCCATGATATTGAATCTGATTTTATAAATTTTATCTTGCAAAATTTCAGCGATCTTGTCAACTAGTGTTTTGCTGCGTGTGTGTTCCGGTAGAAGACAGCCATCATTGCTCCTACACAGAAGACTCTCAACGATTTTAAACATAATTTTCTGATCGTTTCCACATTCTGTTAATTTGTTATTGTAGAACTGCTTATTGGTGCTGTCAACTAGTGTGATGACACATTTTGTTTCTCCTCGAAAAATCTCCCAGTGGATCGTTAGATTTGTACATCACCATGTCCGTTCTGCTCTCCGTCTGATCTTTCTTGCATCTCTTATGGCATCATTAAACCACGGTTTCTCGCCCTTAACATTCATTTTCAGTGATGCATGTTTTTCGAGAATTTTTATGGATACCGTCTTATAAATTTCAATCAATTCGGAGAGATCACTATCACTGTTAAACTCAACAAGAACAGAATGGGCTATGTCGAATGCAAAGCTTTTTTGATCAATAATTTTCAGTTCACGGTAAGTTAAGATATTTCCTGTCTTTTAGCAGCAAGAGGATAACGGACCGAAGCGTGAACTGCATAGTGGTGACTGATTGAAGGATCATTTATTATAGGCATCCGCATAGTATGATCTATTTTCCGGATCACTTGCAATTGCTAACAAATCCAGGGAGCACCCAATGCTGCTGCTAAGTGCAAGGGAGACAACTAAAGTATTAACCAAGGTAGCAAACCATGATGTTCACTCATAATACAGGATATTCAGAAACAATACAAAACTGCGGAAATTCACTGCTGTTCTTATTAGAGGTAACCAGTGTATGTTAAGAACAGGCCAATTGCCTACACATGAACATAAACAGTTCATCTGGGCGACTTATCTGACGGCCCCATTTCACCCCCAAAGAGATATACTGTCAAAAGAGGGACATTTTTGATTTTTGTCTTAATAATGAGTAAATGCTCCACCAGTCCTCAGACATTCAGCAATTCGTCGTGGCATGCGATCAAATTAAACGTTGATCAAATTGAGCGTCTCCTGATCAAATTAAACGTAACAAACTAAAGCAAAGATACGCTAAACAGTAAATCTTATGCAAGAACCGATAGGAAAGCAAACATGGATAGGATAAACCAGCAAGTGGCAGTTTTCATCAACCCTTCCTTGAAGTGTCAAATTTGACAATGAACCCCTCCCACGTGTATGGCGGTATGGCGTGTCGCACATGCAGCTCAGTGGTTCTGTTGGGGCGATAAGTTCTTCATCTGTGAACATACTCTCAAAGCATGCCAAGTGTCCATGACTATTTATCATATCACAACCTGCATAGGTATTTGCATTTCAATATCCCCTACTTTTTTTGAAGAGTAAGTTAAACTGGTTATTATCTGTTTATGATCGAGATACAAGTATTGAAAATATTGTTCTTAATCTATTGTATATACTTCAACAAAATGTTTTCTTAAGTATGCATTATGTAAGAGCTAAATCTGCATATTGCTGGTCTTTCTGTGGGCCTTAAATCTTATATAAACTTCTCTTTAGACATATATTAACATGACAAGTCAATAATCAACTCTCTAGACCAACGCATGGCAGAAATGTAAATGGATTGGAACGCCCTTGAGATTAAAAAAAAGTAACGATATCTGCATAATTTACAAAGTTCTCCTCATATTATTTAAAACACAAATTTAGGAAAAGTACCTTGTAATCTTAATTTTATAATTAGAAATATAGCAAAAGATGGTTGTGTTAAACTAATTTATATTCATTACCTTCGTTTATTGGGTCGGAAATATCATTAAAGACAACCTGAAACACAGAAACAAAATCAAACAATAGGATTAGTATCAAATTTGGTTGAAATAGAAATTTCAAAACAATCAAGCAAAATATTGTTTAGCTGGTGAAAATGTGGGCATATGAAAATAGTAAACTATAAATAAATGAATAATAAATCCAAGGTAATAATATTTAATCAAAGGTATAAATCAAATCGATAACCATCTATCATTAAAAAGACACCATATGAAAACTGTGAAACAACAAGTCAGTTTTAAATCTTATGTGCCAACCTTCAACCCTGCTAAGTCAGAATTTGTTTGTCCTCTGTCTGTCAGGATGGGATGGAAACCATAGGCGTACGATCCGGGGGTGGAGGCTGAAAAAGGTTCGTCCTCTAATACGATAATGCTACACACAAAATTTGAAATAATTTTGTTAAAACTGATGACTCTATAGAGTCCATAAGCTTTTCGTCGAAAGTGGCAGAACTCTGATTCGCAAGCCATTTGTTGATTGACAGCGTGACGACATAATACGCCCACACCGAAATGTGAAAATCCACACATACGTATCCTCAAACAAATTCTCCAATAAATTTCTGATGGGATCACAATAACTTGATGCAGAAACATAGTTACTGTACAATCAAATATATAAAACTGCCATTAAAAACCATCCTTCTGACCAGTTTAATAATATTAACATATTTGTGTATATAATATAGTGACAGGGCTCTGTGGTTTTACCTCTTTCTTTGTGATAATATCCTCGATTTCTCTTCCTATCCTCAATCTCTCTGTTTTATCTCCAGTTATTTCTATATTAACTTTATAAACGGTATCATCTTTCATTTTCCCTACAAAATAAACTCGATGTAATTTAATTGAGTCACCTCAATCTATAGCCTACCATAGATCCTTTGCTACGTAGAACATCACAGAACTTCCAAAAATAAATAGACACACCTTTTAGCTCATATGTTTATAAATCAATTTTCAAAGCTTTAACGTGAATCTTGTTAATTTGCTCCTGACCTTTCATAATTGAATGTAAACCATAAAGTTGTTCTGCAGAGGAAATCATTTAACAGGCGATGGGTGGGCAGACAGGCTAATAGCAGAAGGTGTGACATGAACCTTTGGCATTTAAAGGTCAGTTGTAGATAAAGTTTGTATTAAATGTGAACGGTTTACCTTCTTTTATTCTTGCTAAATTCACCCGAAAGAATGCCTGGAAAAAATAAATCTTGATAGTATTGCAAAATTGTTCACTTAACGGTTAAAATGATAGAATTGCTCATTTAGCTGGTATTGTTCAATGAACTGATAATATACACTGAAACGTATAACTACACATATCAACATATTCATTAATCTTACAAACCACCGTGAATGTTAATGGTATCATCTAGTGACAAAAAATACAAACCACCGTGGATGTTATATAACATGGTATCATCTAGTGACAAAATATACAAACCTCCTTGGATGTTATATATCATGGTATCATCTAGTGACAAAATATACAAATCTCCTTGGATGTTATACCGTATAACATGGTATCATCTAGTGACAAAAAATACAAACCACCGTGGATGTTATACCATATAACATGGTATCATCTAGTGACAAAATATACAAACCTCCTTGGATGTTATATATCATGGTATCATCTAGTGACAAAATATACAAACCACCGTGGATGTTATACCATATAACATGGTATCATCTAGTGACAAAAAATACAAACCTCCTTGGAGCTTGTATCACCACCATGTATCACTATCATCACCCGACATAATGATGTCTCATTCTTACATCTAAAATATTCATCAATTGTTTCCATCATACTTCTGGCCACTAGTTGGATTGGATAACCAAGACTACCCACGCCCAGAACAGGAAATGCTATACTTGTCATATTTTTCTTACTTGCGCGCCTCAAACATTTCATCACTAAGAACGATAAATTCTGAAAAGGGGATAGATAGGTTGTCAGGCAACAAAACATACGCTCGCAGCAGCTAAACAATATATAAAATTATTGGCCCAGTCAGAGCAGCACAGCACGACATTAAACTCTAACTCATTTCATTTATAAAATTATTGGCAATTTGAAAAGATCCATGACATATTTTAGGGCAATAACTCTATTAGTAATTATTACAAATTATTGCACTTTTTTGTACACATTTCATGCAGATAACATTCGAATTTTAATGGTGTCACGGAACATTTTTTGAGGGGTTGTGGTGAAAATTTCTGATCTATACACTTCTTGCCACATTGCCAATAGCTTTTCTTATCCCACTCTCGCGATTTGTTTCTCTGGTCTCTCCTTACAACATTTTGATCTGTAAATAATGACGATGTTTCATAGTAAAAGGTGACTTTGTTCTTCTAGGAGTTGCGATCAGATGATGGTTTCTGGAATAAGGTCGAACCCCAAAAATGGTTGGGAACCACTGCACTAGGTGAATTTCTGTCCGAATCAATGGGTGCCAAATTGCAGCTGATTGTATCACTTTTCACGTGAGTCGTATGATTAAAATTAAACATTGCAGCGACCAAGAAAAAGGAAAAAATAGCTGCAACAGTCGAAATTTATTAATTTTTATGTTGTAGGCCTATGCGTCGGAGTAGAAAGAGGTGGGGGGACAGGAGTGACTGGGCAAAAATCTGTATTTCCAACCAGTTGTGACTAAGCATATGATGCAAACGTCACTAGTTCATTTCCAACCAGCCCCCCTGAGGTGTAGGGGGTGATAAGAATATACCCTTCGTATGTCCTGCGTGTCGTAAGAGGCGACTAAAAGGATCCCCGTAATGGGGCAACGTGTTTGCCGTGCGTTAAAATTGCGACCCGTGTCGGTGGAGAGTGGAATTCTGGTAATTGAGTGGGGATTTGGCTTGCGAGCCCTTTCTCTGCAACACATTACTTTGGTCCATGGTTCACCTAGACGGGAGGTCAGCGTGGCCCACTCTGATCAATCGGCTTTGGTCGTTTTAGCTCTGTAGAATGTACGTTCTCCTAACTTCAATGCTTTGTTGTTTTTGTACTCAGCAGATTTACCTTTGTGTCCTTAGTACATTCTGTGGAGCAGCGGCTTGGGTCAATCAGGTTGGCTAAGTATTTATACTTTCTTGCTTGAGTAGACCCCTCGTCGAGCCCTGAGGCAATGCACTGGTTATCCGTGCTAGTCCCCCCTGGTAGGCAGGGAAGTAACCTGGGGGACGACGAGGGGTGAATAATAAAAAAAATACTTCATGGATTCCCCAATCCCCCCACCCCGATAAATAAGAGTCAAAAACAGAAACGTCCTAATACAGAGGCCGTTTCTAATATATTTAATGTTACTAGTAAGGTATCATAATCTTGGCCGAGGTTTCTCTTGATTGAGAGTTCCTCTACGGATTTATCGAAAGTTTCACCGTTCTTGATAGCAAAGGGCTTAGCTGGTGAGCCCAAGGCTATTAAGAAATTAAAGAACGGAGCACTCTTGATAGAATGCGCTAAAGAGCAGCATGTTACCATGTTGCTTAAATCATCAACATTAGCAGACATTCCTATCAAGGTGTCTCCTCATAGATCTTTAAATTCATGTAGAGGTGTAATTCGATGTCGGGACCTTGAAGGCAGCAGTGAGGATGAGATGGTAGAATACCTTTCTCCTCAGGGTGTTCAAAACGTTTAACGAATAAGTATACGTCGAGGAGACAAGGTGATTCCAACAAGCACCTACATCCTCACTTTTAATCGTCCCGACATTCCGAAGACTCTCAAGGCAGGTTATCTCAATATACCTGTTGATTCTTACATAGCCAATCCTCTTCGCTGCTATAAGTGCCAGAAATTTGGACATAGCAAAACCGTCTGTAGAGGCAAAGACACCTGTGCTCGCTGTGGCCATGATGGTCATGAGAGCGGTGCCTGTCAGGGTGAGTTTTGCTGTGTAAATTGCAAGGGTAAGCATTTTGCTTACTCTCGCGAATGTCCAATATGGCAGAAGGAGAAAAGAATTCAACAGGTAATATCTGAACGGAAAATTCCATACGATGATGCTAAGAAGCAAGGAGAGCTTACTTCACTCTTTCCCACTGCACCACAAGGGAAATCTTTTTCGAGTGTTGTTAAAGCATCTACTAAATCCATATCTGTTCAGACAGATATAACCTGGCCACGTAAAGAGAAAAAACCAAAAAACATTACATCGGAGCATATTAAAGGGGTCTCGTGTTCCTCTCATACATCTGAGAGCTCGACTCAAAGCACTGCTTTGATACTCGGTGAGGCTGAATCCTCCTTGCCTCCATCGGGAGTTATTGAGACTATTCCCAATACTCCTATTCAAAATGGCAAGGGGGCTCTGGGTCGGGGGTGCAGTTTAAGAGTACTTCATCCTCAGAGGAGAGAACAGTGCTTACAAAGAAGCAACAAAAATTGTTAAAGTTGCGAGAGAGGGATAAAAAGGGTTCACAAAACCCTATCCATCTCTTTAATAAATATGGGGATGCTTCGATGGACGACCTTACCGTAGTGGATGTCCATATGGACCCCGTCGGTAAGCCGTCAAAAATTAATTATCCCTGACAATGGTAAATTCCATTATTCAATGGAATTGTCGTGGTTTAAAACCAAATCTTAATGAAGTTCAATTATTAATCCAAAAATACAATCCTTTAGCTATTTGTTTACAGGAAACTTTCTTAAACATACATTAAGCAAGAGCTAAATCTGAATATTGCAAGTCTTAATTTAGGCTTCAGATGTTATAGAAATTATAAATTAGATCTTTATTTAAACAACAAGCCCAAAATCAACTCTGTAGACCCACGGATAGCTCGGATTTAAATAGGATTTCACAAATTGATTAAATCAAATATGGCGCAACCTGATGAAAATACGTCAGTTAGATCGAGGCTAAATGGCAAGTTTACGTCTCTAGGATCAATATCCGTACAACATCAAAATCGGTATGGGATAGGATTCGTAGGATTAAAAGTAAAAGTAGTGCTTTATCAGTTAACCATCTAAATGTTGATAATACCACCTTAACAACATTTCCTGATATTGCTAATTCTCTGGCCAGTACATTTTCATACAATTCATCATCCAATTTCTCCTCTGATGCCTTTCGGGGAATTAAAAATCAGCAGGAGAAAAGGCGTCTTAATTTTAATGATGAATGTTACAATATCATTTTTCTGTTCCAGAGCTCCGTGACTCACTTAAGCGAGCTCGCGATACTGCAACTGGTCCAGATGAAATACACTACCAAATTTTAAAACATTTACCTTTACCAACACTATTAGTACTATTGGATCTTTTTAACCGGATTTGGGTTGATGGGAATTTCCCTCCTTCGTGGCATGAAGCCACACTAATTCCCATCCCTAAACCGGGTAAAGATCATACGAATCCTACCAACTATCGTCCGATCGCTTTAACTAGCTGTATTTGCAAAACCATGGAGAGATTGATCAATCGAAGGCTTGTTTGGTACCTTGAGTCCAGCAACCTTATTACTGACCTCCAATGTGGATTTCGGTCCCAAAGGAGCACTCTTGATCATCTTGTTCGATTTGAAACGTTCGTCAGGGACGCTTTCATCCAGAAGCAACATTTAGTTGCAATATTTTTTGATCTGGAGAAAGCATATGATACTACATGGAAACATGGTATCATACGCGACCTCCATAGGTCATTTAAGGTACGATTGGGATCAATATTCTCTGACCCATTTCCTCAGGGAAGTATTTTATCACCAACTCTTTTTGCAATAAAAATCAATTCTATCCCAGTGTGCCTTAAATCAGGTACAAACGGCGCTCTTTATGTTGATAACTTTCAGATGTGCTATGGTTCTACAGACATGCGGATAATCGAACGTAAGTTGCAGCTTTATTTGAATTCACTTCAACAATGGGCAACCGAAAATGGATTTCGTTTTTCGAAATCCAAGACTGTTTGCATGCATTTCTGTCAGAAACGAGGTTTGCATCCTGATCCAGAACTTTTCTTGGATGGCAATCGCCTTCCAGTTGTGGATGAAACCAAATATTGATTCTCTGTCCTCACTTCAAGCAATTAACAATAAACAGCTTGAACACCCATTAGTAGCAGATATTTATCGTCTGCTACTATCTTATGAGTTCAGCAGCAAAGACATTGTCTTTTGCTGGCTCCCCAGTCACGTTGATATGAGGGGGGATAATCAAGCAGATTTTGCTGCCAAAGCTGCTTTAGATCTTCCCCAATCACACTTTTTAATACCATATAAAGATTTTAAATCATGTATAAATCATTTTATTAATGATCGCTGGCAACGGTCTTGGGATCTTGCAGGCACAAATAAACTTCATCACATTAAGCCTCTCTGAGGAGATTGGCCAAGCTCCTATAGAACCAACAGGAGGGATGAAGTTGTTTTGTGTCGCTCTCGTATTGGTCATTCTTTTTTAACTCACATTTTCATATTAAAGCCAGAGCCTCAACCAGAATGTGAACACTGTCATGTTCCTTTGACAGTTAAGCACATTTTGTTTGAGTGCAAGCATCTCAAACATATAGAAAATCTGAAGTTGAAAGTCGAATGTCAAAAGTTGATTATTAAAAGTAGAAATTCTGTTGTTGAAAGTAGAAATTCTGTTGTTGAAAGTAGAATACTTACGACTTAAAGTTGAACAGATGGACGTACTAGGTTGAAAAGCACGAGCGGTATATGTTTCTACTGCAGATCGCATTTTGAACCTGATACCCCGCCATAGACTATAGCTAACAACTGGTTGAAATGAATGAATGAATGAACCTGATACCCCGCCATAATAGTCGACCCGTCGTACAGGCACGCCTTCTACACCCGGTTAGGTCAAATATTAAGGCGAACTACAGATTTGGTCAAAGGTAACGATATGTAAACAGGGCTAGTGTTAACCCCAGCCCTAACCCACAGTCTTGTCAACAATCACGTGTCCTATGCTTAATTACATCTCGCGACTTTGATGAAATCGGCAGGTGGCCTTAATATTTACACCTAACCCTCCAAAATGGTGACCGAAAATGATGGTGTCCCACATGTGGACTACACCAAGCATGTCATGGGTTAGAGTTGATTATGGTCTTACAGAGACATTTTCTTATACTGATTATACTTACAAATATTGGAGTTGAAAAATCAGAACTATATGATGGAATGTTTAATTCAAGTCTGTATTGAAGTGCTCCAACCATTGTTTTTATTTCTTTAATATCATATCTGTTTGACTGTGGCTGACTCTCTACTACATCAACAATTACATCAACCTTTAATTATATAACGAACCAATCCATTAACATTCATTTCTTTCAGCTTCATTATTTAAGCATCACAGGAAAATGGACAAACAATGCAGCTAAAAAGAAATTGTGGCCCAACTTGGTGGATCTAGGGTCTCTAATCCCACAAGGCGCCCCAGAAGTAGCTTTAGCCTACATTTCTTAAAACTTTAGGTCTACTATAACGGAAGGACAGTTACTACAGAACGCAGCCCACCAATGCTTTTTAGTGTGAATAGTTACTGTCCAACAGCTGGATGTCTTGGTTATATCCAATGTAGAATTAGGAGTGGTGTAAGGTTTTGTATTAATTCATTTCTTTACCTTTGTCATGGAACTAGATAGCCGTCAAACCTTGCTGTTGGTTGTGAAGAGCCCCCATAACAGTTCAAGCTTCGAAGCTTCTGCATCTGCTTTGACATCTACTTCATTTGTTTTGTACGAAAAGGGACCAACGAAATTACCAAATACAAAACCCCAGCAAGGACAAACTAGTATTAGAAGTAATAAAGTTGAAACATAAAGCCGAAATGGTTATATTTTGTGGCGCCTAGTGATTGCAGGAGAACCATACATAGAAACCGAAAAGAATATTTATTAATATTCGTTTATGTCTTCCTATAATATTGTCGGTAAATACTTAGAAATTTACCTAAATATGTTATCAATATTTTAAATGACTGCTGAAAATAGGCCTATTTTATATTTTCAGATATATCTTTAAGTATTTAAAAAACAAAACTATCTCTCTTACTCACCTTTTGGTTGTTTATCTGACCAATTTTCATTTCAATATAATGTCCTTGGGAGAAAAAAAGAATACAACTATAAACATTAAATTAATACAAACTATTACAAACACAATTTTACGGGTACCAAGCACTAGCAATTTAAATAGTTCAACTGTTCAACAAGTATCCTCTTTCCGTTATCAAGTATAAGGTAAACAATACAAGAGGATAGTTGTTGAAATGTTGCACTATTAAAGTTGCTTCTAGTACTACTATTGGAGATGAGAGGGGGTTTAGGTTAGTTTCAATAAAACAAGGCCTAACATAAGACTGTAAATTTTTTTGTGCAGGTGTTGAAAATTCATAGTAAACGCCATAGGGAATTGCCGCCATATATAAGTGATCTCCATTAATTAATTAAGTAATGAATTAACATTGATTGTTTTTGTTCATGTTAATCTATATAAACAAATCAAGGTGCTTTTTACTCATATTCTGTTGTAAGTGAAGACTGATGTTTCGAAATCATACCTTGACCTCCATATTCCAATTTACCCCTCTCCAACAGGTTTTTCAAGAGATGACGATTAATTTGTGGTCTTGATTCAATTGGAAAATAAATCTTTTTGGTCAAAGTTTTACAAGCTTTTATGAAACTAGAAACTGTTGTTTTCTGCGTGGTTTTATCCACCAGTAATATTAAAGTTTTATATCTTCCTTTCTTAACAACTTCTTCTAAATCGTGCTTTGAAGAATCTGGCATGATCCTGTAATGTGCCAAATTATCACTAATTTGCTTCCCAGATTCATCTATAAGAAAGCAAATCAGAAACTGTATGTTGAATATAATTAAACAATGAATGTTGATATACACACCTGTAATGGCTTCTTGTTGGATAGCACAATGATCAATTACAATATATTATATTCTGATTCATTCGGCAATATTACAGTGAAAGCAATTTCGGGCCAAACTTGTGACATATAGTACAAAATCACAAAACTGCCATAGATGTCAAAACAACAATAAACAGGACTTATTAATGAACCTGATGCTATCCACCAATCAATTTGTTTAAAAGTATGCTCTTTCCGTTAGTGAATGATCAACAACCCATATAGCTTATCTCATACCCCCTATTCATCGTTTGCCCTTCAACGTGTTACAAAAAGTTATCTGAAAAAATCATGATGGGTTTTAAACCAAACTTTGTGCAGTATACATTCAGATTTGTCGTAGATCAGTAAGATCAACACGCCAGCGAAGTTTACCTCTGCCCTTTTCTTTGATTTGATCACGCAGCATGCACAATTCATCTGCGTAATATGCATCATTTATGGTGGAACCCTTCTATATTATGATTACGCCCCCCGGAGTCCCCCCCCCCGCCTGTCCAACCTCGTGGGTTTTCTCCGGGTCCTCCCACTGCTAAAGACCCCTACGCGCAAGCGAATTATTGAAATAAAATTGAACCATGTGTTAGTCCCGAAATGACCTAGTTTGTGTCGAGTGGACGTTAAACCCTATTTCTCTCCCCCCCCCCACACTCAAAAAAAAATAAACAGTGTCTAGCCACTTGAGATCTATATCAAAGTATATCTAGATCTATGGAATATAAACTTCTATTTTAAGTTCCAGCAAAATCGGATAAAAATTGTGACCTCTAGAGGGCCCACAACCTTGGTATTACCTACTTTTACACTATTTGCGTACACGGAGTGGCCATTTTGTCAGACAGTTTGGACCCTATTTTCACGAAATTCGAATTCAACCGTCATTATGGGGTAACAGTTATATGCTTGAATAGGTTCTAAAATCAGATAAAAATTGTGCCTGTAGAGGGTCTATGAATTAAAAACACGATTTTTCGTACAATCAGGTTCCATAATGCATGAAGTTACGGTTCGATATGGCTATGTGCCAATACCGAAGGGAATATAAGCATATTTTCAAGTTTCGTCGCATAAATCGCATAAAAGTTATTACTTATAGAGGGTCCACGAGTTCAAAACGCGATTTTTCGCACAATCAGGGGCCATAATTCATAATCCAATGCGCCAATATCGAAAGGAATATAAACATACATTTTAAGTTTCATCAAAATTGCTTAAAATTGTGACCTCTAGAGTGTTAATAAACTAATTACTTGAAGTTTCGTACAATTAGGTGCCACAATCCATAAGTTACGGTCCGATACATGCCAATATAAAAGGAACCGAGATCCTTTGGATATAAACCTATATTTCATGTTTTCGTCAAAATCGGATAAAAATTGTGACCTGTAGACTGTCCACAAACAAATTGTGGACAGACGTAAGAAAGTACTGACTGGGGCGATGACAATATACGTCCACATGAAAATGAGGACGGGCAGGGGGGACGACAATATACGTCTGGTGTGGGCGTATAAAAAATGTAGCCTCTGGCACTTTCTTGGCAGCATATGTGTCGCGTAACAGAGACATTTGATTTCATTGGCCATTACTGACTTCAGTCACTGGTACGCGACATAGCAGTGAACGGGGTCTTACTGTATGCTCATGGATAATTGTATTTAGTGACGTTAAAATATCCTTTCTATTTTCCGTAGCCCGTTTGCCAATATCTAAATACAAACATTTTTGATATAAATTGAAACTTACGGCATTGACCCGCTTGGTTTTGTTCCAACACCAGCATATCAGATTTGTCTGGCAGTGTTCTGTAATCACCAATGATCAGCGGGATTTTAATCGCACAGCCAGTTGTCTTATCATAACTCCAATTTGCAATGTGGATCTCCTTTGTACCAGTAATCAATGGGTTGGTTTCTATAAAACATCGATACTTCTTCTGTAGTTCAAATAGTAGTTGATCTCCTGCTTTACAGATATATTCACAATCTAATGGACAGTTGATTCCAATATGGTACGAACATAAATATTCCATGTCCACCACCGCTAGATTAGGTTCCTTTTGTTGAAAGCCTTCTGTGCTAACATCCGCTTTTCGTGTGTATTGACGTAGATTCGCCAATACTCGCTGGACGATATGTTTTAGTCCAACTATGAGGATGTTTAGTTCTCTCCTCTCGACAACTATATTATTTTCAATAACATTCATGGAATCAACCCAGCCGTCTGGTAGATCATATTGTTTTATCAACACCTTTTTTATATCCAGAAATTTATTAATGGCAACATTCAGGGCAAAGTACTCCTGGTTATTCAAAGGTGGTTCAATACTACCATCTTCATTAAAGCTTAACCCCTGGTGGTAACCGCTCTGTGAAAAACAGTGTAAAATATTATCCAGGATTGATTTTCGTTTAGTAAACAGTTTTAGGTAGATCAAATCTATTTGTTTTAGATCATACCCATCCGTATTCGTATAATTCGTGGTGTCTTGACTGGTTGATGAAAGTCGACCCTTATCTTCAGCATCGATACCCTCTTGTACATTTTCCGGATGATTAACAAAAACCCAGTTGTCACCATGTTGCAATGTTCTGTCCAGATCGTTAACAAGTCTAACATCGCCATGCACAGGCCTCGATCCTGCTCCACTACTTCCTTCTAGTGTTAATGGACTTGGAACATTGGTTCTATTATGAATAGTCCCAGCTCTTGGATCTGTGTTTGAAATAGACGGGGACTGCCACTGGGAATCATAATTGACATATCTATTCTCTGGTTTAGTGTTTGGGCTCGACATGGACTGCCCTTCGGAATTATTATGGCCATGCATATCCCCTGGTTCTATGTTTGAACTAAACCTGGGCTGCCCTTGGGAATTATCATTGCCATATCTATCCGCTGGTTCTGTGTTGGGACTAAGAGTCGGTTGTCCATGGAAATCATTACTGTGTGGTGTATATTTTCCGTTACCAATATCGGTATTAACGTGTGATTCATTACCGCTACCATGATGTATCTTAGCGTAACCATCCTTATCTTTCATATAACAGTTATGATAGATACACTGTATAAAATCAATGTTTTTAGGATCAGTAAATATCCTCATTTTGTTACCATCGAGTTCGTAGTGTGTTTGCTTCACATCCTTGATTAATGATATCAAATATATTTTCTGCTCGTCACTCCAACTTCTCAAGTCCACTTCCCATTCTATGGAATCATCTTTACAATAAACTATACCTACATCACTGCCTCTGTTGAATATTACAGTAAACAGGAAATTACTATCTTTCAATATCTTGTAGGCTTGTCGTGGGACAGTACATTCCTCACAGTACCCAGAAAACTTATTTAATAATTGAATGATGTTGTCTTTGAGCTTCTGCCGTCTTCTGCCGTATACCGTGGCAGAAATCAGACGATAAGGAGGTTCGGGTAAGTCATCCAGAACACATTTAAATTTCGACAGCCCATTTACAAGTTGATGTTTAAAGTGTTTGACTTTATATACATGTACAAGTTGATATATTCTTATATCTAGTACTTCATGGAATGCGATTATATCCATAGATGGTTTCGCTGTAATAGTGATAAGACATCTTACATCAAGATCTGATGAATCTGATCTCACAACTGCACCATTGTTGAGTCTCACACCGTGTGTCTTACTTAAATTCCGTCGATAGTGGGACATCTTGAACCTAATGATGAAAATAACATTTGCTTAGAACATAATTTAAGGTTTTACACGTATTCGATTTCGCGGTTCTTTCAGCTAGTGAAATTCTAATTATCGCTCCATTTAGTTTTACGATATATGGACAGATTTATTTGGGTGTGTATATTACTCCTACGTTGATACTTTATGTAATCAGTGAATAAGACGCTGGCTTGCTAACTTTGAAGTCCTTAGCTGCAATATTTGTAACGGTGGTAATTGTCTTATCCATCCGTACAACTGATATCCTTTACAAGCCTTTGCACATGTAAAAAAAAAGCTTCAATTGCAAAGTTTTTAACACATATCATCACAGTTTGCATGGAAATATGTAATTATGTTACATATAGTGAGGAGTTGAACACTGAAATCCTTATCTAACCGAACAGTTTTTCTATATTTCGAGATGACGTGAAATCACGCGCGTTCTAATTCTGGTTCGGTGGTCATTTTAAAAACAGAAATATCGCGTAGCCGTTGAAAAGTTTTATTAAATTTAGGAATTTCATCTTTATTTAGATGGGAATAGTCTATTATATATTGAGCTCTGCGCAGTACAGTTTGGGGTCAGTCTTAATTGAAAATTAAGGGAGTTATAGGTCAGTAACCTTTTGGTAGTCAAATGACTAAAAAACTGGAGCAAGACGAAGACATCAGTAGGAGTACCGTATACGATCCCTGTGTTGGACGAGAAAGTTCATCAGGATTTTCTGGCGTGGTGCAGGACGGGGGACCCGGAAAGGAACAATGTATAGTAGTTCCATCTTGGTGATATCGTAGACAAGTATGCCTTTGCTTCGGTTTACTTTATGTCTCTTGTACGTGACAAGGATTAGGGGCGCCTGTAGAACCACATGGATTTTCTCCGGGTCCCCAGGTTTTCTCACACTGCTAAAGACCCTGTCGAGCAAGCGAATTATTGAAATAAAATTGAACCATATGTTAGTCCCGAAATGACCTAGTTTGTGTAGAGCGGACGTTAAACCTCATCTCTCTCTCTCTCTCCCGCTTTTTACTTTAAGTCTATTGGGATGTTCGATTTTTCGGAGAGAATCGACATTCACGCCCATCGGAAGGACCTCATATTGAATGAGGTGGGTTGCTATCAGAAAAATCTGCTAACAAACATAATTTGTTAAAATTTGATATCTGAGGTGTTGAACAGAATTTATACGGTTTTCAGGATAGCTGAAAATATTTCTGTAAGCAAAAAGAAACCGAAACCAATGTCTAAACCGTCGTAAATTTTAAATTTTAAACGGATTTCATCTTATAAACTTACTGTGTGTTTGAAATCCCATGCCGTTAAATAAAATCCATTGTACAATTAAATATTCCAACGAATAAATTTGACATATTATGTGTGTGAACGCCCAAACTCTGTATTATAAGGTCCATGTCAATACCGAGAAGAGCTTATTCTTATACAAAACTTGAACTGTCGTAAAAGTTCAGCCAACCGTTTCGATGTGGCATGCTGTCACCTCTTTTTATACGAAATGATTTCTCCCGAAGAGTGACGTAATCAGCCTCTATTGCTCCATGTCAAATATTTGTTAGAATTCAATTTTTCAAGAGAAAAACTCGTTGGGATATTAAATTGTGCGATGGATTTTTTAAAATTTTAACAAGGGGTGATTTCAAACACACAGGTAAGTATATATAACCAAAGTGGTTCATAATCGACGAGCTAAATATAACCTATAGCATTCAAAAAGATATTATGATACCTAAGCTTTCATACCTACTATTTCCATATCTTTTATATTTTCAAGCATGGGTGACACCGAGTTTACGTCATCATATGACGAAACAGTAGTCCGTACCAAATTAAGTTCGGTGTAGATTGTATAAAATAAAGATAACCACGCAAAGTGTGGATGTACGGTGTCCATCAGCTATGTCTCAAAATTAGCTTGTCCGAAAGGAATGTTGACCAAATCTTGGACCGTTCAAGAAAGTCAAACATTACTGAAAATCAACAGGGTTGATCCTTTCCGATCCCAATGCTTCATACCAAACTGCAGTTTCTAACACGCCGACAAGTTTCACAGAAGCAGGAGGGAGCCGGGGGCTTAGTCCAGACGGACGAGCGCAGAATGCTGAACATCCACAGGGTTTGTCCTCTCGTAACCGCAATTTAATACTTCATGTCAAATTGGAAAAACGTCTGTTTAAATCTGTTACAAAGTTTTCGGAGAAGTTATTCGGGTCACAACCCCAGATCCGTTAGCATTTCTTGGGGAACAAGGTTTGGGATGGTTTCTGATAGAAGGGACCCTAAGATATTTGAGTTTCCTACGTCTGAAACCTACGGGCTAACTCTAGGAGTGCCGAAAATTCACGATGTTGGCCAAAAATGGTCTAAAACTTTGACAAACATTGTTGGCGAAATTAACTGTGTAATATATCATTTTATCGGTTTTGTTGGTCACCCAATTATTTCACTAATGGTTGATCCAATGTGGCCGCCAAAATCCAAAATGGCGATAGAAATTGGCTCGAAAAGTATTCTTTCAATACCAATAGCGTCATACACGTGTCATATGTTATTTCAGGGTTTGCGGGGCACAAGAAACTAATATGAAAGGAGATAGCATTCAAACATTAAGCATGTTGGCGACTACATACCTACACGTGTAATAATAACAATCATAAATTGTTCCAGACATCCATGAATCTTATCAGCTATCATGATACAATTGCACTATAATATGTAACAGGCATTGCCCGAGTAGAGCGAAGCTGATGTGTTTGTTGTTAAATATAAAAAATTCATAATTAAGTTTCTCAAGTGAAACAAGTAATGTTAAATAATCTCGTTTTTTCCAAATTGATTTTAATCCAGATCTAAATTGTATGGTTAATTTTGTTTTTTTTAAAAAAAAAGAACATAAAAGTGTGAGAATTATTTTCATTGACGTTAAAAATATGTGACGTGAGGCGTAATCTCGCATGGGCGAGTTTTGGTAAGTTGGCATGCGCATTGTCCGTTTTGCTCAGAATATCCGGTTCCGGTCTGAACTTTTTTTTAAATCAGCAGTCTGTGGGTGACAGTTTTAGTTACGCACCTGTGTTACCGAAAAAGAGCTTTAGAGCTTCGCCCTATATAATAATGTAATCCGCAGTATGACTCTCAAATCTCAGATAACGTGTGCAAATAGTCTGAGTATCGGACTTGCGCACTCAGATTGAGAAGTATTGTTATTTTGAGAGATATCGACTGAGGAGTCGTTTTAAACACTGAGACCTAGAGCATCAGATATGTATCATATAGACAAACAATTCCTAGTGATAGGTTAAGTTCGGATGTCGTGAAAATCGGACCGAAACTTCCCGTAAAAGTGGCCGCTCCCCTTTATGCAAATAGCCTTAAAGCGCGTAATAATGCTGCTCGGAGTATATGTGGAGCTCGAAGAAGGGAACACATCACACACTATACGAAAGATCGTCATTGGCTACCAGTAAAATCATGCATTTCTTTTAAAACACTGTGAAATACATACACTTCGCTATACTCCGATTCTCATTTAGTCTATCTGAAAGAACTTCACACACATTAATCCAACAAACGATCTAATCTGAGATCAGCCAATGACAGAACTCGCCCTTCGATTCCAAAATTTAACAAACGAGTTGGCCAATTCTCATACCCCTGTAATTCTGCAAAACGTTTGAACAATCTTCCTGTAACCATTAGACAATCAAATTCATATTATATATAATTTAAGCGTAAACTGAAAACTCATCTTTTCGGACAGTGTTACGATTAGTCTTGTGGGGCGCTTAGGAACATTTTGATATGTAATTTAGCGGTATATAAATGAAACGATAATAATAATAATAATAATATCAAATAAGATACGAATTTTGAAATCTAGAGAGTCCATGTAAAAAGTTAAACCCCATTTCACCAAACTGGTGGACTTTGTCACTTAATTTTATGAAACTTAAAAATGGCCTCTTATTGTACGAAAACCGCCTTTTTAGCTTGTTCTGAGTCCATGTCTTGCAAAATATGGGCGTATGTTGTATCATTCGTTTCAGAAATTGTTACCTGGGTTGTTAAAGAAGAAATTCACACAGTTTCCATGGTTGTTGACAATATTTCCACCGTTAAATACACTTAAAAAACTAGCTAAGGTCGACTATGTTACACTGTTTTCACAATGGCTGACAATATCGTCCGTGTTGAAACAAGATGCATACGTCAGAGATAATGATAAAAATAAACATATAGTAATACAAGAAGTAACATAAGTAGTATATGAATCACATAATAAAATATAATTATACATGCTACACCTTGA